CTGACACACCATCAGTAAATAGAAAAGCGGCAGAACCTGACACAACATCGGTAAATAGAACAGGGGAAGAACCTGACACAACATTAGTAAATAGAAAAGGAGCAGGACCTGACACACCATCAGTAAATAGAATAGTGACAGGACCCGACAAAACATCAGTAAAGAGAACAGCGACAGGAACTGACACAACATCAGAAAATAGACCAGGGCCAGGCCCTGACACAAAATCAGTAGATAGAACAGGGGCAGTACCTGACACAACATCAGTAGATAGAAGAGGGGCAGGCCCCGACACAACATCACATCAGTAAATAGATCAGGGGCAGGCCCTGCACATTATCAGGAAATAAAACAGGGGCAGACCGTGACACAACATTAGTAAATAGAACAGGGGCATGACCTGCACATTATCAGAAAATAGAACGGTGACAGCACCCGACACAACATCAGTAAATAGAACAGGGGCAGAACCTGACACAACATTAGTAAATAGAAAAGGGGCAGGACCTGACACAACATCAGTAAATAGAACCGCGGCAGGACCTGACACAACAGCAGAAAATAGAGCAGGGGCAGGACCTGACACAAAATCAGAAAAAAAAACAGGGGCAGACCGTGACACAACATTAGTAAATAGAACAGGGGCAGACCCTGACACAACATTAGTAAATAGAACAGGGGCAGATCCTGACACAACATTAGTAAATAGAAAGGGGGCAGGCCCTGACACAACATCAGTAAAAAGAACGGGGGCAGGACCCGACACAACATCAGTAAATAGAACAGGGGCAGGACCTGACACAACATCAGTAAATAAAATTTACAAAATTAAATAGCGCTGGTCTAGTAAACAATGGAGTTGTCTAAGGCATGCTTTGAAATGAATATGTACAGCATTAAAATGGTGTCAGCCCCTGATGCAACGGATCTGTACGAGGGGAGAATGCTACGATTCACTGTGTATTAGGTTAGATTTTAATTTTGATTTTACTTTCAATTAAACCATGCAGTATATTTAGTTAGTCATTTCAAGCTGATCCACTTTATCTGCGTGGATGTTGGCAACAGACCTAAAAAATAATATCAGAATATAAATTACTTTACAAGTTAAATATTTCCCTTGCTTAAAAACGCAACTCATTACAAGCGATCATTTCTGGAATATTGAAGTCGTTAAATAAAGTTTCTCCATGACAGGGAGTAGATACTGGATGTTGATAGGTCACCCTGGCCTCTCCACTTATCAAACAGCTCCGATAAATGTTCTACTAATCAAATTTATTTACACTTTAGCACCAGTTGATATAGTGCTATAGGTTTAGATAGGTAAAGAGTGTTACAAGAGTGTGCAATCTAGACACGCCTACATTGAGATAGGGCCCGTAGAACCTGCAGCCACTAGTGTATTGTATGTATTCCCCTGGACTGCATAATTTGTACTACCAAGCCAAACACACTCTTCACTGAAATATTTGCTTCCATTTTCACTTGAGTTTTTGTAGAATTGACCGAGATCTATGCATTCAGCAGAACAACCCCAAGAACATAAATGTAAATATAAACATTTCAAGTTGTTGGAAGGGTCTTTTTGATCTGACGCCATTTAGGAAACATATAATTATTCTATTGTATATTTTTTTTTCTGCTATGATAACGTATTAAAAAACAAGATTTAGGGTGATCCTTGTATCATATGTAGTTTCACATTTTCTATTAAAATCATGGTGAATCAAGTTATTAATTAGGATATGCTCACAGCCTAACTCAATCTTCCCACAATATGTTTGTATTTCACAATTTCTTTCTTACAATGAGTCGATATTTTAGCTTGATAATTGGTTACATTCATGCCATCGTACTCTTAACACCAAGTTATAGTCACACAAATTCAGTTTCAAATTTCATGAAAGTCTCAACCGGAATGATTTTGGTCAGAGAAAGTGGACATGTGATATTGGTACTTGCGTTCAGGATTTTAATATCAAAGCTCATATCAAATGATTGGAGGATGTGATTCTGTAACATTATTTTATAAACGTTGCTGGCATGAACTTTTAACGTCGATTTGAACATATAAGATATCGGTATATTACGATAGAATGTGTATTGTGGATGAAATCGTTATACCTGGCTATAACAGGAGATGGAGGCATTGATTTCCTGTAGTAAAGTAAATGAAATAATTGTAGGAGGTGAGGAAAGTGCACACTTGTATGAGAAGTGGTATATTACGATTACATGCCAGACCTACTACATTCATGTGTACTATTAAACAGCTATTTAGTAAGTTTACTGACAGACGAACTGATAACCTACCGTTTAGTGTTAATGCCTGTTATGATGGTAACAGTACTATCTTCTGTACTAATCTGCCGGCTCCCGTGATAGATCAGGGTATTGGTATTATATCTGCCAGTGTTATGATTAAATTCCGTGAGTTAGGTATCATTATCTACAAGTGTTATGATATCTGTGATTTTGACAACTGGCAGGTTTTTCTTTTCTTGTCAAGAATGTTCTAATGTATGAATGAACTTGTCACGCCGACTGGAGCGCTGTTAAGGCTGTTTTATAAGCTGTATCTATTGAATGAATGTATTCATGTTCAATGTTGAAATAGGTCATGAGTATCAATGAAGTCAGTATAGCTGCACATGGTGCAGAGACTGTAAAGTTTTATTATGGAAATATTTAAATTTTGTACAAAAACTAATCGTCATTCTATATGGCACTCAAACTAATACACAGTAATGTGGATTGAGATTCTTACACAGTTGTGTACTGGCAGAGCATATGTATGTAAAAATATAACTCCTGATATAAGTTAAAGCTACAGCAGATATCACACAGTGCTGCAGCATCCGTCCTCCGCATGTCCATCCGTACAAACATCCAGTATTTCAGCTAATTAGGAGGTCACATCCTAAGAGGGAGGGTTATTAAGTTTGTTCTTATGAATGACCTTGACTTGACCCACAGGAGTCTTACATCTTAAAATATTAAAGCAACTTATTGTGAATAACCATGAGGCCTAATTAGCATAATAATATTTGGCCCATGGCATGCTGAGATGATAGGTAATTAATTTGTTCAAATGATTTACCTTGACCCACTTTCATTGGCACATTGGTCAAATTAAAAAAAAAATAATCTTGGAACAATTTCTTCTTAACCAAAAAAGTCAAGAATAGTAATACTTTTCTTCATGGTTTGATTGAATGATGTGCTATAAACTCTGTTTGAATAAATTGATTTGACCACCTTTCTAAGTCACATGGGTCAAATGTGTGAAAATGACCTTGACCAACTTTCTCATGGTCTAGAGAACATTGAGCCTGAAGCTTTGCTTGAACATAAATTTTCTAGTTCAATTAAAATGATCTTGACCAACTTTCAAATACACATGAGTAAAATAAGTCAAATATTCTCTAATAAAGTTCCAAAAGACTTCAAATAATGATGTTTAGACTGTAGTTTTGGCTTGCTTGATATAAAGTTTGTTTAGATAAAATTTACCTTGCTTCCAATTGAAGGTCACAGATGTTAAGTAAGTGTGTTAGCAAATAGCATTGAATTACAGGTGAGAGATACAGGCCCATTAGGCCACACATTTTGTTTTTTTGTAAGAAATGAAACATTTTTATGAAACATCCGAAGCTTTTGAAATCCAAGCAGTCAGGTTGGTGCACCTGCTGTGTTTCCTTAGGAAAAGCTCTAGGTTAGGTTGCTCACTTGGCTTCTTTCTAGAGATCTGTTTAGAAAATACAAAAATGTCTTAGGCAGGTGTATAACAGAAAGTCAGGGAGAGACTAGGCTGGTTGTGGTGAATCAGTTGTGAAAAATTGTGATGTTATGTTACACTGATACGATGAAATACTCACTAAACACTGGCTACTTGCATGTGACAGGGAAGTCATTGAATCTGACATTTTTTATGTTTTTCATATAAAGAGAAGATGGTCAGTGTTTCTGTAAACTGTATCATATTCCATGGTTAGGATAGTTTTATGAAAATCTGAATTGCACCATCACATGTAAATAAAAAATCTATATTATATCATCGCTTGTAAGTAAATAGAGGCAGACATGTCATTCATGAATATATTAGAATACTCTAAAAATCCTTTTGTTGCATTATAAACATGACAATTTGTTATCCACTCGTGACGAGGTTGTAAAGGGATATAGTGTTCCATTCATACAAATAATCGTACATTGTTTTTATTTGTTGTTGGTTTTGTCATAACTCTAGCTTCTTCATTTCTGAGCGTGTTGGATCAAGTTTCCTATACTGGTCACATCTTGAACAAGTTTTGAGGTTCAGGGTGAAGTTGGAGGGGGGTATTTTAGTAACACTGGTCCGTCTGTCTGTCTCTTCTTCATTTCCACACAGCAACTTTAAATCAATACACTGCTTCTTCTCTGAAAGGGCTTGCTTGAGATTCCTTTCAGGTATGAAAGTCAAAGGTCAAGGTTACTCTGTTAGTATGGATAGAAAATGCACAACAGCTCATGTTCCTGTAGGACAATACTCCTACTTTTTATACTGGTTCCTTACTGAAAATGCTTGCATTGGATGATTTTTCAGAAGGATAAAAGTTAAGGTCACTGTTACTATAAATAGAAATTGGTTTTTTTGCAGAAGAGATTAAGTACATTAAATGTCAAGGGTTAAGGTCACTTAATAAAAATAGAGCAATGAATTCTGCACCACACAAATACCTTGGTATCAAAAATTAAACTATGTCATCACTTGATTTCCTTTGCATGAGGAGTAAAGCCCCTTGAGCCTCATCTCATGTTTTTGTACATAACTCACGATACAACTACTGTTTTCTGAGATACAGTGATTCCAACGAAAATGTGATGTAAATTAAGTATTTTTACAGTATTTGCTTAGCTTCCATTGATTTATGGAACTCAGTATAGCAAGATCATTATACTACAAAAATGATGTGAGAGAAGGAACTCTAACCCCTGCCTTTTTTTCCCATCCTCAGCCCTTCAAGTAACCAATGGTAGAAACATTATAAACGGAGGTCGACGACTGAGCCATCCTGGTAAATACCTGGTCGCTGGTACGACCTTCACTTACAGTGCCCATGAAGGTCGAGGATGTCCAGGCCAGTGCTTCAGTGCACCGGGCCCTACAGACAAGTCAGTCGATATACAGGTATGTTCCTTGATTATTGATGTATGTATATAAATTGAAAGATCACAGTCTACCAGCTATACCTTATGAGGTCACACTCAGCTATCCACACTTAAAGGCACTATTTATTGACATCATCACTTAATTAGGTCACACACAGCTATCCACACTTAAAGGCACTGTGACATCATCACCTTATTAGGTCACACTCGGCTATCCACACTTAAGGTCACTGTGACATCATCACTTAATTAGGTCACACTCAGCTATCCACACTTAAGGTGACTGTGACATCATCACCTAATTAGGTAACACTCAGCTATCCACACTTAAGGTCACTATGACATCATCCCCTAATTAGGTCACACTCAGCTATCCACACTTAAGGTCACTGTGACATCATAACCTAATTAGGTCACACACAGCTATCTATACTTAAGGTAACTGTGACATCATCACCTAATTAGGTCACACTCAGCTATCCACACTTAAGGTGACTGTGACATCATCACCTAATTAGGTCACACTCAGCTATCCACACTTAAGGTCACTGTGACATCATCACCTAATTAGGTCACACTCAGCTATCCACACTTAAGGTCACTGTGACATCATCACCTAATTAGGTCACACTCAGCTATCCACACTTAAGGTCACTGTGACATCATCACCTAATTAGGTCACACTCAGCTATCCACACTTAAGGTCACTGTGACATCATCACCTAATTAGGTCACACTCAGCTATCCACACTTAAGGTGACTGTGACATCATCACCTAATTAGGTCACACTCAGCTATCCACACTTAAGGTGACTGTGACATCATCACCTAATTAGGTCACACTCAGCTATCCACACTTAAGGTGACTGTGACATCATCACCTAATTAGGTCACACTCAGCTATCCACACTTAAGGTCACTGTGACATCATCACCTAATTAGGTCACACTCAGCTATCCACACTTAAGGTCACTGTGACATCATCACCTAATTAGGTCACACTCAGCTATCCACACTTAAGGTCACTGTGACATCATCACCTAATTAGGTCACACTCAGCTATCCACACTTAAGGTCACTGTGACATCATCACCTAATTAGGTCACACTCAGCTATCCACACTTAAGGTCACTGTGACATCATCACCTAATTAGGTCACACTCAGCTATCCACACTTAAGGTCACTGTGACATCATCACCTAATTAGGTCACACTCAGCTATCCACACTTAAGGTCACTGTGACATCATCACCTAATTAGGTCACACTCAGCTATCCACACTTAAGGTCACTGTGACATCATCACCTAATTAGGTCACACACAGCTATCCACACTTAAGGTCACTGTGACATCATCACCTAATTAAGTCACACACAGCTATCCACACTTAAGGTCACTGTGGCATCATCACCTAATTAGGTCACACTCAGCTATCCACACTTAAGGTCACTGTGACATCATCACCTAATTAGGTCACACACAGCTATCCACACTTAAGGTCACTGTGACATCATCACTTAATTAAGTCACACACAGCTATCCACACTTAAGGTCACTGTGGCATCATCACCTAATTAGGTCACACTCAGCTATCCACACTTAAGGTCACTGTGACATCATCACCTAATTAGGTCACACACAGCTATCCACACTTAAGGTCACTGTGACATCATCACTTAGGATACTGTCAAACGGGTTTCATTGACACTTTATGGGAATGTTCCCTGACCAAGTGTTGTTATTTTTCGGTATTTAACCCTTAGGCTGCTACGCACGGCATATGCCGTTTTGAAAAGTCGGGCCGTCAGTGCTACGCACGGCATATGTCGTTTCTCGGTCTGTAGGTTTTGATCGGTAGCCAGGAAGTGTGAAGTCGGGTTGTTGCTATACCAAACCCGAACGTGTATAGTAGAAGGCTTCTGATTGGTTGTTTTGTCATTACTTTCGATATTCACGGCAGTGTACGCTTGTAATAACCAAAGGTGTGCGAGAGAATTTCAAATCGAAAAAAACATCATAAAAATGGCGGACGTGTAGATTGAAGCGATGAATATGATGGTAAACATTTATTCTCCATCGTCACCTACGATGATAATAAAGGTTTTGAAGGGTTTGACTTGGTTGATGTGGAAATACTTCGGTGTAACATAATATGTTACTTTCCAATAAACGGCTTTGTGCCCTACGCAAACAGGAAAATATCGGCGGACCGAGGCGCACATGTCGTCTGCAGGTGAGGCCGAATTGAACATTGACATTGATACGTTTTGAGCCGATTTATTTCTTCAAACTTTTTATCGGTGATTTAATCATAAACTAGACCGTAGCTAAAATATATCTATATGCCGACTGTGACAGTAAATTTATTGAATGGCGACCTGAAACCGGTAGAAAATCACATGCAATTCTTTACGAAATACCTGACCTTTTTACCTGAGAATCTCCGTGTAAATTACAGCGTCTTATGTCAAAAATGAAGTTTATAATCTCTGTTATCATTTGCCAATCCCATTTGCGGACAGAAATAATTTTAAAATGATCTTTCTCTTGCTTAAATCCCATTAATTAAAAGTTTAACATTTTCTTACCTTTATTACCACCTGTACAGGTAAATACTGAAGCAACTTTAGAATTGAAAACGTCAATATAAGCTAGAGACAACAACGAACAATTTTCATACAACTTTTTTTCACATATAACAAATATTTTCCAAGTTATGCACATTTGAAAAATCAAGTAAATTAATTTAAATTTCAATAATTAATTCAGCAGTGGTGTCCCTTTACATAGAAATCAATGTAGCAGCCTAAGGGTTAAAAAAACTATTTCAAACTTGAAGTCATGTTCTACTGAACTGTTTTAACTGAAACTTGGAAGGAATTTTCAGCTCATGGTCCTGACAAAGTGTTGTTATTTTTGGGGTCTAGCTATTAGAAATCCAATATGGCTGCTAGGGCCGGCCATTTGAAAAACTATCTCAAACTCAGTCAAGTTCTACTTTGCCGATTTTATCATTTAACTGAAACTTGGTAGGAATGATTGACTCATGGTCCTGGCAAAAAAAAAAAAAAAAATCAGGTCCATCAAGAATCCGATACGGCCTCTATGGCTGCCATTTTGGAGAAAAAAACCTATTTAAAACTTAAAATCAAGTTCTAATAGGCAGAATTAACTGAAACTCGGTCTAGGAATGATCAACTCATTGTCCTGACAAACTTAACTTAAAGTTACACTTAATTATTTTGTACTCAAATTTTGGTAGGGATGATTGACATCATTATCTCAGGTAGGACTCAGATGACCGTTAAGGCCCATGGGCCTCTTGTTTTTCTAAATGCCCATTGACACAATATTGTAATATATGGTCATTACAAGTACGGTGTCAATGCTAATGTGGATGGCCATAGCTTGATTTTGTTAATTGGCATTATACAGGTAGCAAAATTCTAAGTACAGGTGTGACTGTTTAATGTAGCTTAATCAAGCAGATTATTAAGTATGTGTTTGAGGACCACAAATGAGGTTCATTCAGACCATGAAACAAGGCTTCCAATGAACACACACATGAGGGAATCACAATGTCCTCTGCTGATATGTAGGATGTCCCTACGAACACATAGCTTGACCAGTGTGATGACCAACGTGGGCGTAACGAGTTGGTCAAGCTTGTTAACCACATGTCATCATAACTACAAATTATGTCCATTAAGAGCTGTCCAGAGGGATTCATCATCAGACAAGAATCTTGGACCACTTTCAAGGTCAGCTGAAGGTTAATATTGGAAATTGATATCAAATGTTACAAGATTCACACTTTCAAAGTCAACTTAGGGTTGTTAGAAATTTAGATTGTCTATCATATACTACTTTTGTTGGGGGGCTAGATCTGTGTGATGTCGTAGTTAAAACTACTTTTTTTGGGGGGCTAGATCTGTGTGATGTCGTAGTTGGGCTTGACCTATCAAGGTGCTAAACAATTTCATATTTGTCTTTGAACAGATTTTTTTTCAGTTTTTTCTGCTCTGAAGATTTATAATTATCGGAAATATAATTTGTATAACATTGTTAAATCTATATGTGCCCTATTTTATAATGGAACAGCACATAGTTGTTATGAAAAGTTGTTCAGACGAAATAGTGATTTATGTATTTTATACAACATTTTTGAGGAATTGCTAATTTTTTCAAGAGGTCACAGTAGACATGATCACCATGGGAATGGTGCAGTTTGTGTTTATTCAATTTAATACTTGAGAACGTGGAATATAAAATCCATGGCATTTCTGCTGGTTTACATGGAAGTGTATTTTATTTGTGTCAATTCATGGTGGTCTGGGAACTTGAGGATATAGAAGCTGGGTAATTCTACTGGTTTGTGTACTAGGGGTTACCGAATTTGGGTCTAATCATAAGGCCATTACGATTTTAGAGATTGTTCAAGAAGATGTCGTAAAATTGATCAATTTTAAATGAAGTGTTTGTAACTTGAGAAGGATGTTGTTCTTGAACACCCACTTATTTTCACTTGACCATTCAACCTTCCCTCTAGCAGTTGGTACAGCATCGGGAAGGATTGCTTCAAACGTGCCAACAGACTTGTTGTAGGTCTGCATTCACCATGGCGACATAAGATGCACTCAGACCCTTCAACAAGTAGACAAGCCCTCGTGTGGCCAGTCAGGTACATCTAATGTTATCGTTGGCTGACCTTGATAGCTATCAAGGACACTTGAATTATTTAGATATTCAAACGGAACCAGCTGTTCTTAAATAAATTGTATAAAGTCTAGGTTGAAAGTCGTTAACTTTTAAACATTTTGGTTTTGAATTTAGATATGCAAAATATATGCAGTCCTCAAAATAATCGTTTTGCTCTGCATGTTGTGAGCTTAAATAGAAAGTATTAAAAAAAGTAAGTTCTAATCATGTTTAATATACATTTAATGATGTATACAAGAAATGAGATACTTAAATGTCATTATATATTGCCTGCGAATGATACTTGAAAGGTCAACCCTATTCTGTAATTCTGGTACAGCCTCCCACCAATCAGAAGGGGATGTTTGAGGTATAAGATTTCATCATTTATCATGCAGTTTCTATTATATTTAGTCATCTTTTAATTCATAACAACAAGAAAAGCTCAATGCTTAAAAACATCAAACAATAGCAGCACCCGATCTTTAAAGATAGGGATCAGACAACAAAGGATAAAGATCAACCTGTAGGAATATTATTAAAACCTATTAAAGTACTTGCTATATTTCACTTGGTATAAGTCTATGACTTGGGATATTTTCCAGAATAGTCCAAAACTTGATTAAGCGACCCCTACACTTTTAGACATTAAATTAACTCATTCTAGAAGAATAAAAATCATTTTCTGGTATAAAATGATTATACACTTATATATTTTGAAGAAAAGGGAGGTTTTGTTTATTATGAATTGTATTGTACCAGTGGGTGAGGGAGTTTAGTGCCTGCACTGGTTCTTTGTTCATGACTTGGCCTCCGACTCTTGATAGTGAATTGCTAGGAGGTTATAGCCACTTGACTTAAATCTGACACAATAACACATCAAAAACTGTGGCTGTTGATATATCATTGTCGAGGTTATAGTTAACGTGGTGTTGGGAGCCCCTCCCTGTGCACATTCACACCCTCATATGTATTGCTACTCATTTGTTCATCAGACGTTGTACATTGGAAACGCCCAACTCATTTGCATAAAAAAAAATCAACACAAAGTTAATCCTGGAGTCAGGAATAACTGTAGAAACGTGATTTCACTGATCTGGCCCGTTTGTGTCTTAATGGCTCACAGCTATTTCTTTTTTGGCTGTTTACATGTCATTTTGGGGCAACATTCTTAGTCATGAAACTCCAATACAGGTGTGCTATGTATAAAGTTCAAACACAGAGCTAGGATGTGATACTGTTGCTGTTACCTTGTTGAGTGTAGATACAGGTGTGTTGGTTCAATTTGCCAGTGTCTTATTAGAGAAGTGAGAAGTATAAACACCATTATCTAACCCTCGGCTGTGTTACATCCCTCTCTGTCTGCCATTCGGCCATGCTACCACCTTGTCGATACCTAGTTTCCGTATCTATAACCTACACGAGGGGCATGCACAGGTGGCGTAAGTGCTGCAGTTGGATTGCATCACCTTTCCCCTTTCCATTGCAACATCCTGAAACACGAAGCTGGTAAAATCACACACTACCAATTAATCAAATAGTCATTCCTATCAACTATTGGTATTTTGGTACTCAGAAATTATCCAAAAGAATCAATTAGTCAATGTAATATAAGGAATCTGTGATCAATTATATTGATAAGAGTATCATGTTTAGTATGGTGGTTTTTTTATTCGGTAAAAATGGAATTTTGAAATGTTTTAATGCATATGTGATAAAACATGTCAATCTCATTATCGACCAATCAGAATTGTCACCGATCATCTGCATTATGAAGACCATTAAGAAAATTGTTCCTTACTGTATCTGTGTAATCCAAGTTTAACTGACCACACAGGAAGTTCTATATTTTATGATGGGACGTCTAATGACCACACAGGAAGTTATATATATATACGTGATGATGAACCATTGCTCTGATGGAGGGGGTTGTATATTTATGATGAACGACTGCTGACCATACAGGAAGTTATCAATTATGGTAGACCACTGATGACTTTAAGTATTACACCCTTATATACTTATCAGATCTAGATCTACCACACTTTCGTCCAACAGACCTTCTGTTGGTATTTTGGTTCTTTGCCAAAGAGATAATAAGGTGGAAGTGTTTTGTGAAAGGATGTGTCTCTCTGGTTAAATTTAGATACAATTACATTCTAATGATCAGGTTGCTATGTAAGCTTCATTATTTAAATACCTCATTTATATAAAAAGAAAGATATGAAGGGATGAAAAATTACGGAAGTTGATAAGTTGCAGGCCTGGTGCTACTTGGACAATACAGATAAAATATTATTTTACAGTGACAGACAGGTATCTCAGGTGACATTTTACATTAGTGAGAATGTTAATCACACTAGACTACACTCATTAAAGTTTTAATTTGAAACAAATTATGAGTATGACTTTTGAGTTATAGGACAGAATAGAAAGGGCATTGCCCCATGTTGGAGACTTTCTGTAATGTTATCAACTTTGTGTATTAACTTTGTTATCTTATAAAATGTTGTAATAATAGAATAAAAATTAAATTATCTATCAGTCATTAATTCTGCAAATTAACAGCATACATTATTCAAAATATTTGGTGTGGGTTGTCCAAGGGCAGAAGAAGAACTCTTGATTTTGGCCATGGTTTGTCAAAGGTCAAGGTCACTGTTACTAAAACTGAGGAACAAATTATCACACAAAACTCAAACTTTGTTTGTGGGTTTGTTTGCCAAGAGAAGAGGTAAGAACTGTGTTGATTTTTTAGGTCACCTGAGACAAAGTCTCAAGTGACCTATTGCGATCGCCTTTTGTCCGTCGTCGTCCGTCGTCCGTCGTGCGTCCGTAAACAATTTACATTTTCGACTTCTTCTCCAAAACCCCTGAACCAATTTCAATGAAATTTTGCAGGGACCTTCCATGGACAAAGGTCAACAAAAATAGT